AATACTTCAGCTTCAACCATAACAACACAAGAGCACACAATAGATACAAACTCAAAGTTAACCGCACCAAACTTGATTGCAGGAAATACGACTTCAGCAATAGAGTGGTCAATGTCTGGAATACTCTACCCGACTCTGTAGTTTCTTCCCCAAACCCCAAAAACTTTAACCTTAGACTGTCTACTATTGACCTCACCCCTTTCCTAAGAGGTCTGTAGGGGGCGTGCATAAGCGCACCAACGTGCCTACCGTCCCTGTCCTATTGTTTCTCTTATTCTTCTTTTATTTTTCTTATATGTACCCATTTCATGTATACACTTATACTTATTATCTTGTAAACAATTGTCAAATCAAATAAATAAATAAATAAATAAATAAATAAATAAATAAATAAATAATGAAAAAAAAATTAAAATTCACTCCAACAGATGAGGCAGCGGGGTATATCGAATAAAGAATGACAGGGCTGAATATTTAAACTTCATTGGTGTGAAGTTCCATACTGCGTATGTGAATGCTGCTTCTCATCTGAATTATTACGAAGAGTGTTCCATATTAGCAGGCTTGAAACCCTGCATTCCTATTGGTCCACAAAGACCGCTACGTGATTGGACAGTCAGGACAGCTGTGATTGGTTCGCTAGGAGTCTACCGCGATTGGATGAAACCAATCGCGGGAAACTCAAAGCGATGTCATTGGCCGCCTAGCCGCGGCTAGCTCTATAAGAGCCGCCGCGAGCGCTGCTTTTTACTCAGAACTAGCCTGTTAAATAAAGAGCTGTTGTTCACTTAATCTGAGTCTCTCGTCTCCATGAGTCCGACCTGCTGAACTTAACAAAGAGCAACCAGGATGATTAGGGGACTGGAGGCTATAACATATGAAGAACGGTTACAGGAACTGGGCCTGGCTAGTCTAGTGAAGAGAAGGACCAGGGGAGACAGGAAAGCAGTCTTCCAATATTTGAGGGGCTGCCACAGGGAGGAAGGGGTCAAGCTATTTTCTAAAGCACCTGTAGGCCAGACAAGGAATAATGGATGGAAACTGAACGAAGAGAGATTTAACCTGGAAATAAGGAGAAACTTTCTGACAGTGAGAACAATCAACCAATGGAACAGCTTTGCCTTCGGAAGTTGTGGGAGCGTCATCACTTGAGACTTTCAAGAAGAGATTGGACTGCCATTTGTCAGAAATGGTGTAATGTCTCCTGCTTGGGCAGAGGTTGGACTGGATGACCTACAAGACCCCTTCCAACTCTGTTAATCTGAGTATATGAATCACACATTATATTCAACTCAAACTCCACAAAACAAACTTTAAGCCTTAGCATAATGTATTGCATGAATCCTGCCACAGAATTCAGCAGCGCCCTAGTTTGAACATGCTCACCCCCAAAATATGTGCTAGAAACTGTGCTCTTAAATAAAGGCTGGTTTATGGCCTAGTCCCATCCATGGACCAGTACAAGGCCAGGGCATGCCAGAAACCGGGCCCCACAAACAAGAAAAGCCCCATCCGCGGATGCAGTAAACATATGAAACCACAGCCCCTCCAGTCTGCATAAAAATCTCCACAGAAGAGAAGGTGCCCAAAAGGTTGCAGGCTGCTGGTCTCTGGCATCAGTGGGTAGAAGTGAAAATCCAGATGATGGTTGTGATGGTAGCTACACGCTGTTAACATCTGTCACAGGTGAATTCCCTTATGTATGTCCCTGTGTAGCAGATCCCATCTGCTCTCATGTAAACAGAGCCCGAGCAGCCAAGTTATATGTGTGGTTGCCTGTAGCCTAGAAATAAATTACATTCAGAGACTGACTCCAGGTGAAACAGATTATCTGTGGGAACAGATGTCCATTACTCTCTGTGCCCATTTAAAACAGAGCATTTAATTTCCATCGGTTACATATACAGAAATGAAATGTTAACTTGAGGTATTTGGCTTGTTACTCAGCACACACGAGAAACTTGTGAGAATGTAAGTAGTCCTGGACTTACAACCATTCATTTAGTGACTGTTCAAAGTTGCAATGGCACTGAAAAAAATCTGACTTGTGACCATTTTTCACACTTATGACTTTGCAGCATCCCCATGGTTATGTGGGAGGTTAAAATAGGGAGGCTTGGCACCTAGCTCCAGAGGTGGTATTCGGCAGGTTCTAACCAGTTCTGGAGAACCGGTAGCGAAATTTTGAGTAGTTTGGAGAACCACTAATGGAAATTTTGAGTAGTTCAGAATCCCACCTCTGACTTGCCCCGCCCCCATCTATTCTCTGCCTCCTGAGTCCCAGCTGATCGGCTGGGTCTTCTTTTGTTGCCCTGCACAGGAGAACAGAGCTGGAAAGCAGGTTAGTGGAGTGGGAATGGAGATTTTGCAGTATCCTTCCCCTGCCAGGCCTATCAAGCCATGCCCACCAAGCCACGCCCACAGAACTGTAGTAAAAATTTTTGAATCCTACCACTGTCTAACTCATACTGTGTTTTCCTGAAAATAAACCCCAACTAGAAAATAAGCTTGTAATGTAAGCCCTATCCCAAAATAAGATAATCAGACAGATGGACACATGTAGTTACTGTATTTCCCACAAAATAAAACCTAACTGGAAAATAAGCCCTCTAATACGTCTTTTGGGGCAAAAATTAATCTGAGACCCAGTCTTATTTTCAGGGAAACAGATATTCATGATGGTTGCAGTACCCGGAAGTTATGTGATCAACTTTTGTGACCTTCTGACAGGAAAAATCAATGGGGAAGCGCGATTCACTTAACAATTGGGTTACCAACTTATCAATTGCAGTGATTCACTTAACAACTGAGGCAAGAAAAAGCCGTAAAATCTTCCTCCTTTTATTTTCTCCACGACGACAATCAGTGTGCAGCGTCAGCAACGAGAATTGTCTATCCCAGGAAGAAATGTTCATTTTTGCACCTGGTATCTTGTGCTCAGGACTCTGCTAAAGGCGTTTGGTACAATTCACTTAACAACTTAGCAACAGAAATTTTGGGCTCAATTGTAATCGTAAATTAAGGATTACCTGTATCATCTGCATCAGTATCATTGATTGTCTTTAAGGCAAAAAGAGGTAGTCCTCGACTTATGACCACAACGGTGGCCAAAATTTCTGTTGTTAGACATTTATGGTGAGTTTTGCCCCATTTTAGGACTTTTCTTGCCAACTTTGTTAAGTGAATCCTTGCAATTGATACATTAGTAGCCTGGTTGTTAAGTGAATCTGGCTTCCCCATGTCAGAAGGTCGCAAAAGGGGATTACATGACCCCGGGACACTGCAGCCGTCATAAATGAATCAGTTGCCAAGCATTTGAATATTGGTCACGTGATCATGCGGATGCTGCAAAGGTTGTAACTGTGAGAAATGGTCCTAAGTCACATTTTTCAGCGCTGTTGTAACTTTGTACGGTCACTAAATGAACTGCTGTAAGTTGAGGACTACCTGTAGTCTTCAATGGAGCTCAGAATTTTGATTGTAAATTATTGTGGTCTTAAAGTCTAGGCACCGCCTGATCCGACTTGATTTTACAACTGCTTTTACAGGGAGTCAACTCAGTCACGAAGCAAATCACATGGTTGGTAAGTGAATCTATCTACGTTATGTCTGCCTAAATAAAATGTTCAAAGTGGGCCATAAGGAAAGGGGAAAAAATTGTGCTTTGTATTCTGAGATTACATAAGTGAGGTGCGCTAAACCTTAAGGCTTCTGTATGTCTTTGTTTATTCATTTATCTATATATTTATTTAATAGATTTATATGGCCGCCCATCTCATACAGTGACTTTTATTTCTTTTTTCATTCTTCAGACTTCATAACCTTCCCCTTTTGTCTGAACTCCAACCTTAAGCAAAGCCTTGGGGAAATATATAGAATCTGATGATGGCAAATAAGATTCTGCCGAGGCATTGCTGCAACTTTGGAAGCACAGCTGTAGTGACGTTTATATATATATATATATATACGTTTTCTTAAGTTTTCGTGGGTACTTACATGTATGGTAAGATTCTGCCGAGCTCAATACCATATATATGTACCATATATATGTGTGTGTGTGTGTGAGAAAAACGAATCTTGCAAATTAATGTGTGTGTGTGTGTGTGTGTATCTGATCCTATCTATCCACAAACACATAATACACACATATATCACACACATACAGTGTTTACCAAAATATACATATGGGTACATACATATTTTTAAAATTAATTAATTTACCTTGTCATGTTTACGTAGTGCATATTGGAGGTGGTGACCCTTTAGAGAATGGTATGCCACAAAATTTCATTTTTAATGCAGGCCGATGAGTGTACATTTAAAGTCACAATGAAGTTATTCTAGGTCCAAATCAACTCGCTCTTTCTCCGTTTCTCAAAGGATCTCCCTGAAAGAGCTCCCGGTTCGATTGTATCCCTTCGTTCGGACGGCCTTTTTTTTTTTTTTTTAGCCCCGATGAGGGCTAGAAACTTTTTTATTTTAATTTTTTTAAAGAACCGTCTTTCGCCGGCTCCGCTTCCTAGCAGGTACCGAACCTTGCATCCCCACATGAGGAAGATTCCCCCCCCCCCCCCCCCCACGCCTTTCCCTCAAACGCCAAACAAGATTCCTTCGTGTTGAATCCGATCTCTCCCTTCCGCGAAGGGAAAACGCCTTCCTCGCTTTCCCACGTCGCGAGAGGCGTCCATTCTTGGACCGACGCCTGGAAGTGGGAGTGGGAGGACTGGGTGGGGGGGGGAGGGAGGGAGGAGGGCGGGTGTTTTGCTTTGCAACCAGCCCTGAGGGGGGAGGGGCTTGCCGGAGCCCCTCCCCTCTCCCACCCACCCACCCCGCAGCCTCCAGACAATGCGCTCCCGCCCCACCAGCCCCCCCCACCTCTCCCTCCCGCGCGCGTCCAGAGGCGTCCAGAGGCGGCCGAGCCGAAGCCGGCGCGCCCCCCCCCCCACGGTACACGAGCGGCTGCTTTAGGAAAGAGGAGGAGTGCGCGGGGAGGTGTGTGTGTGGGGGGCGGCTGAGCGTCTGTGGGTCGATCCCGCCCCCCGGGCCGGCCCTTCCCCGCTGCCCAAGCGTCCGTCAAGCTGCGGAAGAGGGGAGGCGGACGGACGGCGCGGGCGAAAGAGAAAGGCGCTCCGGTCCGGAGGGGAAAGAAAGATACGAGGGAGCTCCTCGCGGGGAAACACTCCCGCCCCCCTCCCCACCCACACCTTCCTTACTCTCTTCAGTCCTTTTCTCTGGGAGTCGCCCAGCGAGGAGGAGAAGAAGCAAAAAAAGGAGTGGAGACGGGACTTTTCCACAGTGAATGGACTCGCCGAAGGAGCGGTAAAGAGGGGGGAGTGGCGGGGCTGGCCGGGGTTCCTGCGGGAGGGGAAGGGAGAGCAGCCGGGGAAGGACGGTGCAAGGAGTGGGAGTGGAGCCCGTGGGTGGGGCAGGGATCCCCGACTCCGCGGCTCTTTCTCCCCCCCCCTCCTCCCCACCACCACCCCGGCGAGCAGGTCGGCTGCCTTCCCCAGATTCTCAGGAGAGCGGGGGTGATCTTCCTGGGAAGAGATTTGGGGCGAGCCTCGTAATGGCTTTAAGAGAGTGGGGCGGGGGTGTTACTTCACCTCGGGGAAGGAGGAATTTCCACAAACAGCCCTTGGTTGCGTAAATAGAGGCATAGAATCAAAACCTCCCGCGAAGCAGGAGTGACTACCCCTTTACAAAGCCTTACTATAAGAACCACACCTGGAATCCTGCTTCCAGTTTGGGGGGTCACCACATTACCAAGAATAAATAAATAAAAGATGTTGAGACTTTGGGAAAAAAAAAAAAAAGCGCCGGAGAAGAGCAACTAGGATAAGCCTGGAGACTAAAACCTACCTGAAGACCGGTTGCAGGAACTGTGTGTGGCTAATCTAGAGAAAAGAAGGGCTAGGGAGTGACACTATAGCAGTCTTCCAGCATTTGAGGTGATGCCACAAAGAAGAGAGGGAGTCAACTTATTTTCCAAAGCACCAGAAAGCAACACAAGAAGCAGTGGAAGGAAACTGTTCAAGGAGAGAAGCAACCTGGAATTCAGGAAAAACTTCCTAGGACAATTAACCGGGTGGAACAGCTTTGCCTTCAGAAATTGTGGGGTGCTTCATCGCTGGAGGTTTTTAAGAAGAGATTGGACAAGCCACCTGTTTGAAATGGTATAGGGTCTCTCCTGCTTGAGCAGGGCAGGGGGTTGGACTAGATGACCTACAAGGTCCCCTCCAGCTCTATTCTGATTGATTGATTGGTCTTAAGAAAAGGGAGTGGGCTGGAGGTTACAGGTTGCCCTGAAGCTGCTTTGGGCTCTGGAAGGTCTTATTAGGTCTCCTTGCCTGAAAAGAGTGTATTTTTGGGGGGCAGAATATGGGAGATTGAGCTGAGTGGTATGGATGGGAAAGCACCAGAGGTGGGTATTCAGCAGGTTCTGACCAGTTCTGGAGAACCGGTAGCAGAAATTTTGAGTAGTTCGGAGAACCCGCAAATGCCACCTCTGACTAGCCCTGCCCCCATCTATTCTCTGCTTCCGAGTCCCAGCTGATTAGCTGGGTCTTCTTTTGTTGCCCTGCACAGGAGAACGGAGCTGGAAAGCAGGTTAGTGGGGTGGGGAGGAAATGGGGATTTTGCAGTATGCTTCCCCTGCCACGCCCACCAAGCCACGCCCACAGAACCGGTAGTAAAAAAAATTGAATCCCACTATTGGAAAGGACCGCTCAAGGGGGACAGTGTGTGTATGTCTTTGTCATGCGGGATGCATCAGAAGGAGCCCAACAGATGTTCAGGGGTAATAACAGAATAATAGAGTTGGAAGGGACCTTGGAGGTCTTCTAGTCCAACCCCTGCTTAGGCAGGAAACCCTATACCATTTCAGACAAATGGTTGTCCAATCTCTTCTTAAAAACTTCCAGTGGTGGAGCATTGACAACTTCTGGAGGCAAGTTGTTCCACTGATTAATTGCTCTAACTGTCAGGAAATGTCTCCTTAGTTTTTGGTTGCTTCTCTCCTTGGTTAGTTTCCACCCATTGCTTCTTGTCCTTCCCTCAGGGGCTTTGGAAAATAGCTTGACTCCCTCTTCTTTGTGGCAGCCCCATAGGTATTGGAATACTGCTATCATGTCACTCCTAGTCCTTTTAATTAAACTAGACATGCCCAATTCACAGATTAGGGTGCTGGCTCTTTGGCCACATTTCTCTTCCACTCCTAACTAGGCCTTCTCCACCAGTGTTCTCCAGATACCTTAGATGTCAGCTGTCATTTTCCCAGCCAAGGTTGGAGGCGATAAAAATTGTGGTTCAGCATCTTTGAAGTGTGTCATCCAAGGAAGAGCTGTTCTAGCAGTTAGCCATCCAACCCTCAATCCACGAGGACTCTGAAATTGCCCAAGCACAAAGCTGGTGTTATAATTTGGGGAAGGACTTGCTGGATTTCTTTGAGGGAGGAAGGAAGAACTTGGAGATTCATTTGCTGGGCATGAGGGTGTCCCAGAATTGTGGTGGGTCTCTTGAATTTCCAACCAAGGAGAGGACAAAGGGAGGAGATAGTAGCTAATGAGAAATACAGTAAAGGAACAGTATAATTATACATATAATAACAGCTGCAAGATTGGTGTATGCCCAAGACTGGAAGAATGAAGATACCCCTACAGAAAGTGAAATAATAAGGAAAATATTAGTCTGTGCAGAGATGGACAGACTAACTTTATAAATCAAAGATAAGGGTGAGACAGTAAGATGAGGTCTGGAGTAAAATGTATCAATGGCTAGAGTCAAGAAAAAAGAAAGGGTTGACGCTTTATAGGAATGGAAGTTAAAGTTTTGTAAACCAAAGAGAATGGAATATAATGGACAAATACGAGATGATACGAATGTATGAGTATAAAAGATGGTTGTAAATATGTATATAATTGTATATAAATGTAAATAGAAATAATATGCAGCTAGCACTATACTAATAACATAAGGGGAAAAGGAAATTAACCGTTTAGCTTGTATGGCCAAAATGATGGCCAAGAAAGTCACACTGTGTTCAATTGTTTTTAATGTTTATTCAATAAAATTATTTTTTTTTAAAAGGGAGGAGATGTAGCTGAGATGGGCAACAGATTGTGGTTAATCCCTAAAGAAGTTAGCAAAGTGGAACAAATCATGGCTATGTCCAGGTAAAAAGAGCAAACATACTTGATGAGAAGGTCCAAAGTTAGCTTGATGGCTAAGGAGTGTTTAAGAGGCTTAATGCTCTGCAGAGGGACCCAGATTTAATCTCCATCTTCATCTGCAAGAGCAAGAAAAGTTAGTGGCCAGATTCACACATCCGCCAAGACGAAGCCGGACAAACCATTGTAAAAGGGCGAAGCTTGCCTTGTATAATGTTGATTGTAGTTTCCAGTGTTTCTTTTCTTGGCTGCAAGGATGAACTTTTTCACTTCAAGGGTGTATCCTGTCATCTTCGCTACAGAGGCTGCTTTCTGGAGCGGAACGCATTAAGGCAGTCTGTTCTTGATTATAGTATGTGCTTCATCTTTTGTTTCTGTACTATTTACTGGAGTAGCGGAATGGTATGAAGTTGATTTTAATTTCCCATGCATTTGGTACTATGATGGAGTTTCTATAATGTAAGCCACATCCTTCTTACAGAAGGGTTTTTGGACGGTGGTAGTGGGGCATCTGGTTTAATGGTAATAGAGAGGCCTTTGAAATTTCACTAGTAGTCTGTTGTGGGATTTAGTTTTAGGGAATTAATATCGCTGCCGTTGTTATTTTGGCATGGTTGCATTAGTTGCTTCGGTGTTCAGAGTTGGAAGAAAAAGTGGGAGGCAAATATTAAGATGAACCTGAATTGCTCTGTGCAAAACTGAATTGTCACTGAGAGAACTACTCGGTCCCCCCTCCACCCCCCCCAAAAAAACCTGGTGCCAATCTAGTAGCATCCAACTGTAACTCTGACCACTTGAGTCAGCAAGTTGGTAATCCTATTGTCTGGAGATAAAAGGGGTCATGGATGGATCCAGATTTTAGCCCCAACTCAGCATAGAAACTCACTGGATGGGGCTTTGAAGGGATCTCTCTCAGTTCACTGTATCTCATACATTCATAATGTGGGGTGGGAAAACCCACAAAGAAGATGAAGAATAAATACGCCATAAATGAGTGCCTTGGTTTGGGGTTCAATGGAACCTTTGAAGTTGGCCTCTACAATGAAGTCTTGATTGTTAAATTAAAATGCCAAAGTAGATGCATCTTTTATATGCAAAAAGATGTTATATTTTGTCTTGGATGCAATTCCTCCCTCCCTCCTTTTTTCTCTTTCATTCTTTTTCTTTCTTTCTTTCTCTCTCTCTCCTTCCCTCCAATCCTCCCTCTTTCTTTCTTTCTCTTTCTCATTCTTCCTTTTCTTTCTTCCTTTTCTTTCTTTCTTTCTTTCTTTCTTTCTTTTCCTCCCTCTCTCCCTCCCTCTTCCTTTTCCTTCCTTTCTCCCTCCTTCCCTCCTTTCTTTTCTTTTCTTTCTTTCTTTCTTTCTTTCTTTCTTTCTTTCTTTCTTTCTTTCTTTCTTTCTTTCTTTCTTTCTTTCTTTCTTTCTTTCTCTTTCTATCCCTTTTTCTCTCTCTCCTTCCTTCCTTCCTTCCTTCCTTCCTTCCTTCCTTCCTTCCTTCCTTCCTTC